AAAAAAAATAAAACAGTCAATTTCATAAACAAGGGTGGAGCCAAGTTTATGTTGCCTAATGTTGCCTTAAATTAAAGTTTGATAAAATCTGTAGAGTGTATATGACAGCAACAAAATGCCTCATTTAAATATGGATTTTCACCTATTGTACATAATGGTTAAAGGTTAGGATTGAAGCACCATTGATATATAAACAATGTTTCCCTTTTCCTCAGGAAAGAGATCTGGCTCAGGCTGAGCTTGATGGTGAGTCGTGTCTCTTTAATATTTATATCAGTAATAAGAACTTCTTGCATAATATGAGCTGAGTTTACCAGATAAAGAATCATAGAAGCTTTGAAGATTCTCTGAAACTTCACAGAGTTGCAAGAAGCCTTCAAGGAGTTTGACTATGACCAGGACGGGTACCTGAACTACAAAGACGTGGCTGAATGCATGAGAACCATGGGATACATGCCCACTGAGATGGAGCTGCTGGAGATCGTACAACAGATCAAAATGAGAAGTGAGTCTGAGGAGAAAATTTTCATTTTCATTAAAGATCCGTGGAGATTTTTTATTTTATTTTCTAAACCTTCTTAGCTCTGCCAATGTGTTTGAAAGTGATTTGAAAGGTTTTCCTTTGTAGTAGGAATCCTGTTGCTTTCAATGTAAGCACATTTCAACAGGAGGTTGGAACTCTACTATGCTGGAAGTTCTTGCAAAATAATGAAGCCATTTTAATCCTCTTCTATGGTTTGCAGATAATTTCATGCATTCATAAAGTGTAGGACCAAATTCCCAATCAGAACCTGAGCAGCAGCTGGTTCTGTCATTATTTCAGTCAGACGGATAATAATTGAGGTGCAAAAAAATCTGCCTTCAATCCTTTTTTAAGCATGGGGCAGCCATTTTGAGATTCTTCAACCGTCCTGCGCTATAACTATAAAACACGTTTAAATCAGAGGCAATCAGACTTTCGCTCAAGTTCTTTCTAAGACATTTCAACACCTATCCACAGATCTTTGTCAATTCTGTTGCCTCGAACCAGAGCAGTCTGTAGTTGGAGCGCCGATGTGTTTCAGCATGAAGTTCCATCCTCCAAGTAACTTTCCAAGTCAGATGATCCAACTGTTTTCTGAAGTCTGTGTGTCTGGGTTATGCATTAGTCCAATTTAAATGATAATTATGAGTGTTTTAATTCAATTTTTGTGGAAACAATTAAAAGAAAGTCTGGCTGCCTCTAATTTAAGCCAAAGTTTTGTTGTTGCCATGACAACCGGGCATCTCTTACTTTATATTTGGGAGTCTTTAACTTTGTTCTTTTCTGCTTGAAAAGTGGAAAACGTAGATCTGTTGGATCAAATAGAAACTAAATCAATGCTGAACATTAGATCATGTATTTAAACAGAGCTGCATTAAGCTGCGGTAGATCCTTATCAGCTTATTAAAGCTGACCAATCAGAGCAGACCTTTCTTTTTTGGGGAAGTGGGCCATTTTTTTCATAATATTATTTTTTTTCTTAGATTCTTTTATTCAATTATTAATTATTTATTTTATTATATTATTTATAAGATTATTATGGTTTGAGCGAAAACATGAAATGTAGCTAAAAATGTATCTTTTAGTATCTTTAACTGAACAAATGCTATTTAATTTTCCTTTATTAGGTTTGCTAAAATAATCAGACCAAGGATTTTATTATTTTTTAAATTTGTATCGAGTCATCTTTTTCAATTTTTATACAACCAAGATATTATTAAGTTTGTTGATCTGACAATATTTTAAATGTATTTAATAAAATCAAAGATATTGTTAAAAAAAAGAAAAAGCAATTCTGATGAATTATAATAAAACTGATTCAACCAAATGTTTTTAATTCAATGAAGTTTTTCAATAAATCTGTCAATAAAATGAAACCAAGGAGCTAAAAAAGAGTTAAATAAATATTTCAATAATGAAATCTGTCCATCAAATATGAACATTTGATAATTTTTCAAAATTCCTTTTATTAAAATGTATAACCTTAACTAAATAAACAATTTAACAAATTAATCACAATAATATCGACATGATTTTAGAAGGCTACCCCTGTAGATTGGTAATAAAGAGTTTATAGGTTATGGGTTATATAACTTTATCTACATACATAATCAGTGTTGTATAAAGTACTGAAATCTCAGAGTCAAGTAAAAGTATAAGTACCTCTCCAAAATAT